AATTCAAATATCTGGGAAGCATATTTACGCAGAATAGCAGACTCGACAGAGAAATAAAAGCCAGAGTACAGAAGGCAAATTCTGTTACCAACCAGTAGGTTCGACTGCTTAGACACACAAATGTTGCCCTTCTTCTACTGCTTGGACACCCAAATGTCGCCCTTTTTCTACTGCTTAGACACCTAAATGTCGCCCTTCTTCTACTGCTTAGACACCCAAATGTCGCCCTTCTTCTACTGCTTAGACACCCAAATGTCGCCCTTCTTCTACTGCTTAGACACCCAAATGTCGCCCTTCTTCTACTGCTTAGACACCTAAATGTCGCCCTTCTTCTACTGCTTAGACACCCAAATGTCGCCCTTCTTCTACTGCTTGGACACCCAAATGTCGCCCTTCCAGCAAAACAGCTAATGATTAAAAGCATCTTTATCCCTACTTTATGCTATCAGTGCTAAACATGGACAACGAATAAGGCTTATGCCCACTTGAATATTTTCTGAGGGCCTCAACTGAACCTAAGCCTTGATTAAATTTACCAGTAATAATAAACATTATTATAAAAATAATGTAATAATATATTAAAAGTAATAAAATTTTATATACATATATATATATATATATATATATATATATATATATATATATATATATATATAGAGAGAGAGAGAGAGAGAGAGAGAGAGAGAGAGAGAGAGAGTAAAGGACCCTTTTCCACGCCTTTTTACATTTTATAGACCAGTCGGCACTTAATGGGTAATGTGGTCATCATTACGCCAGCCGCCTTTACTTCCCATGACTACACCTGGTACCCACTCCAGGCTGGGTCAACCTGAAATCTAAGGTCATTTTTGAAAAAAGATCCGGCTTCGTCAGGACCCGAACTCACAACCTTCAGATCCTTGGCGAGTTTCTAGCCGCTACACCACGGCAGCTCTTTAAGGTCGCTATATATATATATATATATATATATATATATATATATATATATATATATATATATATATATATATATATATAAACTTCCATAGATAACCTGGTTTAATGGCAATGATGTGGGGGAGAAGGGGGTTGGGGGTTCGGCAAATTGTCCTCTTAACAATTTAGTTCTTTTTTTTTTTTAAAGTGGGGATTGTGTCAATGTGCGCAAGTCAGTCTATCCACAAGACTAGATTTAGACTCAGTGAGGCCCTAAGACATAAAGCCCTGAGGCTTCTACAGTTTTAAATTATACTAGTTATTCTCAGAAAACTGTAAAATACATAAATTGATACAAAGCGAGGAACTGTGTTATTGGGTCGCGCATTAGACAGGTTGAGAATCACTGTCCTAGATATAATGAAACCTATTTGTTTTAATGTGTTTTGCAGCCTGTTGTCCACTTAGATATATATCCCTTCTTGTCATCTTCAATCATACTCAATCAACACCTTTACAATTATCATTTATATTTATTTATTCGCCTATTTGTTTTCTGGATCTCTTTCAAGTTTTAAATTTCTTGTCACGATATGAAATAAGCCAATCGAATGTAATCTATACAATTTGAGATTTCGTGGATGCCACTATTCGCTTTTTTGTTTGGGCAAATAACTATTAACTTCTAAATTGGTTTGCGCTCACAGTTTAGGAAGGTTCACCACTATTCATTTTCTGTAATGAGTTAATAAGAAACACAAACGGTAGAAGGATAAGTGGCAAGGAAATGAAGACGTTTACAAATAAACGTGACTGAACTTTTCACCAAAGAGGTCTTGATTGTGTTAACAGCAGTTAGCCAAAGATGGCAGGGTGTAACATAAAAGTATTTGCCAATGAAAAGGAATTTCAGTTTAGAATACTCACACACGCACACATACAAATACCCCCCCCCCCTTTTTTTTGTGTGCCTGCCACACACACACACACACATAGAGATAGAAACATAGAGAGGGGGAGGAAGAATGGTGGAGAAGGAATAGATGCAGCAGAAAAATAAGGAGGAGGAGAAAAAGGAAATGGAAGAGGATAAGAAAAGAAAAAAGAAAGAGGAGATGATGAATAGTGGAGAAGAGAGTAGGGGGAGAAAAAGAAAACGAATATATATATATATATAATCTGACGACTCGTTACATTCTAATCGAGATAATAGCTTTATTTGCATGACAGTATTTTCCGGATTTCACAGTGGCAATTAAAGATTTTTATTTCTGATTCGCAACTGTCATCTACTGTCATTATGCGCTTAGAAAAAAACAACTTCCTTTACAAGAAACAACATTCAAAAAATGACCAAAGAGAATAATTGTTACTAAATGATCTTCTTGTTTTATGTTCTGCTGATATGCATATAAAAATATAAATGCCAAAGGAAATAAGTACGATGAATGTTTTACAGTTATTTCTAAAGCACCTTTAACGAATTATTTCAAATAAATTACGCTTTTTAAGCCCAGTAATGCCAGACAAAATAGTTTTAAACTGTATGGATTTGCTGTTCCCATTCTGGTCAAACAGGTTGTAGATACAATAAGAATACAACAATGACGAAAACAAGTGCTGACGTTTACTTCACATCTCACCATTATTATAAAACCACTGAGGTCTCTTGAGACGAGATCTAGATAATTAGGAAACGTTTATTAATATATTTATTGGGTACATATCACGAAAATCATCCCATCTCGTCGGTCGCAAGATTTCATGCCGGCTTTTTTTTAAGCCATAGCGGCTCCCACAGGCTGTCCTATGTTGTAGGGGTGTTAGGACATGCGTTTTTTCGCCGTCTTTTTTCTGTGGAGCTCAGTTTCGTGGCAGGCGGAATGCAATCTTTTTAGGCACCATTTTTAACAGAAGAGTTTCTTACAATTTATAATTACCGGAATAGAAAACAAATGACTGCATTCTCAAGTTGGGTTTTTGTTTTGTTTGGGGTACATGATATCAATGGCCCATTACATTTGGTCTGCAGGCTCTCAAAGCCCACCAAACAACTAATCAGAGACACTGCTAGGCCATTTTGGTTGTATTCTGGACAGTCTTGGAGTTTATTTTCTGCTGTCTGGGTCACCAAACCAAATCCGCTTTAAACGCTGTAGACATGTGGCTAAGAATTCTTGCATGCTATGTAGAGCCACTTTTAACATATGCATGTGAATCCTGGACAATTAATAAACAAGCCAAACAATTTCTGGAGGCCTCAGGGATGTAATTTACAAAAGAAATCTTAGAATACCTTGGACAGCCAAAAAGAACAACCCTGATGTATGAAAGATTTCAAAGCTTCAAGACAATTTATTGCAAACATAATAAAGAGACGGTCGTCACTTTTTGGTCATGTTATGAGAAGACCGAAAACGGAACATGCTGTGACCATTTCAATGATTGGTAGAAAGAAAGACAGAGGAAGACAATGCGGAGCGAATCTTGACAGAGTTTTATCGTGGCATGGAGGGGTGTCAACACAGGAAGTGATTCATGCTGTTGCAGTATTATCCCGCCTGGGATTTGAGAATGGTACTCATCAGTATATCTGGTATTTTCTTTATTGCCATAAGTTTTGCCCCGTAATAAATATTTTGACACGTTTCCGGTTGGATTGCTGTCCTTATCGCAAGATTTACTTGGATGTTCCAGTACTGGTCTTGCAGGCGAGTCTGAGGTGATGCAGGCAAGTTCCGAACGACAATCTCAGTTGAGATGATACTTTGGGCTTTACGGAGTGTCTACAGAAACCTTACTCCGATAGACGTAGGCCCCTTTCTATATCCTCTTCATGTCGCCGTTGACACATTAGACATTCACTAGTGATCTCCATTGCTGCAAGAATGCTGTTTTTCTGGAAATGGTATCCCATGTCAGTTTACATTCCTTCATTTCCCGTTCTATCGTCCTTCTCCAGGTTTCCTTAGGTCGTCCACGTCTCCTTTTTCCATCTGCTGTCCACCGGAGAGCTGTTTTTGCCAGAGTGTCACAAGGCATTCTGCAAACATGTTCAAGCCATCTTCATCGTCTTACTTCGATAACATTTGCAAGTGATGCACATTCTGTTTACCTCTTCAGTTCGTCATTTGTGATCTTGTTTGGCCAAAATATTCGTAGAATTCTCTTTAAACATTTATTTTGAAAAGTCTCAAGTTTATGTATAATTCCCGCTGTCATTTTCCAACATTATATATACAAAACAGTATAATAGTATTCCCAAAATTGTGCTCTTGTTTATTCTAAGTTTTGTCTTCAAACTAAAACCCTTTGACTTCCATATATTTTTAAGCATAGCAAATGTTTGATTTGCTTTGTTCATTTTTGACATTACATCCTTTTCAGAATCTTCATCTGGAGTAACTTTACTTCCGAGGTATATAAATTCTTCAACTTCCTCTATTGCTTCATCGTTTAAGATAATTGGATTTTCTGATTTGAAATTATTTCTCAAACTGGTGTTTATTTTGAGTCCTGTCTTAAGGGCTGTTATTGAAAGTCTTTCAATCTTTTCTTGAGCGTCCACATGATGGCTTGATAAAAGACGGATGTCATCTACATAGTCACACACACAAAAAAAAAGAAAAAAAGAAAACAGAGGTGAGTGACCACCTGATGCATCTTTTTCTATATCGTGTAACTTTCTCCATCAGCCAGTTGAGGGCCTAATTGAACAAAAAAGGGGATAATATGCATCTCTGAGAGGCTCTGAAAAATTGAACGCCTAAGCCCATGACTGCAAAAATAAACTTATGGATTCCCTGGCAATGTTGTTCAGATTATTTTGGCTTTTAGTAATGAACGTCATGGATCGGTTTCAAGCCCTGTCAATATAATCGATAGAGCATATGCTTTAGAAATTCCCGAGGGTCATCGTTGGAGTTATGGAATTTCTGGCTTTGTGCACTCTAGGTGGGCGAACTTCTCTGTGGAAAGTGACCGAGTCACAAAGGATAAAACCTGTGCAATTAAGTTCATCCTTCCCTCTTTAAATACCATTTAGAGCTAAATCTCAGGATTCTTCACACAAAAAAACCAACCGAATGACAAACCAAACGCCTACCTGGAAGAAGACCACGCGGCAGTTTTTAAAATTTTATTTTGCAAGAACAAATTCTATAATAATAGTGTTTAACTCTTTGCCTTCAAAAACAACGCATGGTGTATGGGTAGCTATATCTGCTGAAACCGCATTTTGCTTAATATGCGCTATTACTTTCTGTGTTTGGCCAGAAGACACTAAAGAAATCTAGCTTGTCCAATAGTCACTACTACTATTATATTACCGCTATGAGAAAAATGTGCTAATAAATTGTAGTCACGAATATTTCTCTACTGGCATCTTCTACATAAGCTTCTTCTGGTACTAAATGGGTTAATCTTGTTCAGACAACTTCCACGAGTGGTTGCTGCTGTACTGCCCTCATCAATCATCAAGCAGGAAATATAGATTTAGCACCATATACCCCATACGCCAAAGGCGTGGAAAGGGTCCTTCAAATATAGCAGCTGTGTTAAAATCACCCCCTCCCCTGTCAGAATTCACATGAATATGAAGTGAACATTCAATGTAATTGATTTCCCCCGGTCCGTACCCCTGTAATGAGGGACAGGGAAAATTGGAGCACTGCTCGAACTTTGAGGCAACGCTTAATGTTTATTTTCCGCCGGCTACTGAGTACATTAATTTGTGTCTTTTGACATTTGCAAGCTTTGATACGCCTGGCGAATTAAGCAATCTTGCTTGATCTGATGTGAGAGGGGCCTGATAGTATAATGATTAGTTTCCTAATTTGAAACTGAATATATCTTCCATGATTTTGATATCTCCAGTTAATAAGACGTTCGTGCACTGTTTATGAAACTGTACACTCGCAAATGAAGGCTTAAGAAATGTAAAATTTCATCTTGTGTAACCGCGTCTTGATTGCTTAATGGGCTTGCTTATGTGAAATAACCCTTAGAATTGAAATATTTTAATAGATGAATCATTGATTAGAAAAATGAGATTATTCCGAACTGGACCGTATTAAGTGATGCGTGATTTTATGTGAGAAAAAAATAAAAATTGCGGTGGAATCGGTGCAGGATGCTGAATAGTGGTAATCGAAAATTGGTTTAAGAAATTCGATTCCGTTCCCATCAATCAAACAATGCATGGGCCGTGGAATGTACTGTAGCACCAGCGGTAATTTGAATAAAAGCTTGTTTGTTTTTGTTCTCGTTTTCTTTCGCCATTTAGTAAACATATTCATGTTTTATATCTGCGAGGCTAATGAAATAATGTTATGGCAGATGATGTTAAATGTTAATGTCTACTTAACTAGGTTGGGGGAAAAGGGTGGGGGTGGGGGGGGGGGGGAGGGGGTTGCCAGAAATCAAGGTAGATGTTGGCAGTCAAGTTGTTATAAGCGGCTGGTCAAACGGTTAGGACCGCTGGGCTTTCATGAGGGAGACTATGCTCGAATCCTCGTTAAGGTCAAGAATTTTGTTTTCTGTCAACGGCAAAAATAACATCTTAACCTGCACAGTCGTGGCGACAGCACTAGCCATGAAATCCTAAAGCCTCAGGCTCAAAGATCCCCTCTCCCATTTCTTCCCGTTTACCAGCTGTAAACTCTGGCGGAAAGTTCTGGTTGTTCACATACTTCTGGACTGCAGTCCTGTTCCAGAACCTGACAGCTGCGTGTGCCTCTGTTTTACAGATCTGACTCATTTGTATGCAGACTGCTGGTTCCTTGCCTCTCATGCAGATGCACTCCGACTTTAAAGGAGCTCCCAATTAGTCGACTCTTACGACATGCTTTTGGGTAGGCAGTGCGTCTATTCTTGTTATTCCTATAACTATGTCCCGTAACCCACACGGGGATAATTGGTATATAAAGGTAATCATTTGCATTTTAAGTTAAATCTGTCGCCATGTTTGTGTAAAACTTTTATAAATTTATGTTTCATAGGCACAAATGGTAAATGTTTTTTTTTTTTCATTTTTTTTTTTTTTCAAATATAATCTCGACATCCCCATGTGGGATGCAATGTTTCGTTATTTTGAAGCCCCACCCTAGCATTTGCTGGGGGCCCTATATATAGCCGGGCCATAAATATGACCTAAACGGCTGAACGGGGTTTCCGGCACCTCTCCACGGGTGATCCTCATCCGCATGGTGGCACTTTGTATCACCAGGTCTTTATCGCTTTGTGTGATGTCCTGGTGGAGTAAAATCTACTTACTTACTTTGTGCCGATGTGTATCGCAGTTTAATGGATGATGGTTTGCTCAGCCAGGGAGTGTGATAGTTTGCTGAGCCAGGGAGCGTGATAGTTTGCTGGACCAGGGAGCGTGATAGTTTGCTGGACCAGGGAGCGTGATAGTTTGCTGAGTCAAGGAGCGTGATAGCTTGCTGAACAAGGGAGCGCTTTGTTGCTTGGCCTGCTATGATATTGGGAGGTCTTACGTTGTCGGTTGCACCTTGAATCCATATTTCCCCCCTCTCCACTTAACTCATTATGTTTCTGTTTTCATGTTGTACGTACTCGATACTGGTGTCATTGGATTCATTCTCACTAGCTGGCCAAACTATTTTGATTTCTGTTTCCCAGTGAATTTAATTACGGTTATTGTTCAAGTACTAGTAAGGGCCGAAGGTAAGAAGGGCCTGCGTGCCCAATTTGTGACCATTTGAAAATAAGGTTCGCTCCTTCGTTCGTTCGCTCATTTCTCACACGATGAGTGGTAAATAGACAACAGTATATATGAATGAAATAGAAATACTGAAACATTATAGAAAGTAAAGGTGTTTCAATAATATTTGAGAGGTCAGAGTTCTGGGGGATAAAGTGAAACACTTGACCACCTCGTAGCAACAGGAGACGGCATCACCGTGGTGAAGTGGTCAAGCCGTTTGCCTCGCGCTCTAAAGGTCGTGGGTTCGTCGCACGGCTGCACCCTTCAGTTCACGAGTGCAATTTTTAGGGACATCCATAGGGATTGCCGCCAGAGCTACAGAGTTCGTGCTCTGCGCGACGCTCTCGGCAGGCAGCGAGCTGTGCTGCGGAGAGAGACCGAACCATATAGGATTTTTTTTTTAACTGCGCGATGAAGTCGGTCTCTTCGACTTTAACGTTTACCTTTAACAGGAAAGCTATCACTTGTTTTCTTGTGTTAATTTTTTGTATAACCAGCGTAACTAAACACTGGGCATTTCCATAGGTGTTTAGTCTTCCAAGGCGGCATAGACCCACTGCCTCCCTAACATGCAAGTCGTAAAAGGCGAAAAATTATGTGTGTTTTCCCCAATTAGGTTCGCTTCTACCTGAGAGGCTGGCAACTAACAGTCTGCAATTAAGCCAGATCTGTAAAACAGATGTGCAAGCAAAATTCAAGTTCTGTAACAAGATTAAAAGTCGAGACCTCGAGACATTTGAGGAGGATGAGGAGGAGAAGGAGAAGAAGAAGAGGAAGAAGAAGAAGAAGAAGAAGAAGAAGAAGAAGAAGAAGAAGAAGAAGAAGAAGAAGAAGAAGAAGAAGAAGACGATCAGCTCCCTCCATACTACTTCCTGTTTTTAATTAATGCTATACTTGTCAGTCGATCTGCTCATTTATAACCGTCTACACTGACATTTTCTGGTGTGCAGGTAGAAAATGAACTCTCGTGGAGTTCCTTGGTGCAGAAAGGGTTAAGGATACGGCTCCCGGCGGTGAGAATCATTAGCAGTAGCCTTAAGACGAACCTTAATTAGCCAGGCTGGGGGGAAATTAATTAGCAGTATCAGAAACTCAAACAGCGGAATAGCACGTAAAGAGTTTGAAGTGATACGGGATGATAACGATATGTTTTTTTGTCTGACGTCATGCCTTATTTACATTCAAACAAAGCAAGAAGTAATAGTTATCCTAGCCTATCGATAAACTGTAGAAAAATGACTACAATTCTTGTATAGAATGTTTGCTTTGTTCATTACTGTGCCGTTTTCTGGTACCATTTGTTTTCCATTGTGTGTGGGTGGGCGTGTTTGTGCCTGTCTTTGTTTGTGTACACGTTTAGCTTGTGTTTATATATACATACAGAATCTGAAAATGTATACAACAAAATAATGTATTATTGCTTGGATGCATTCTTTTCTTTACATGCTTTTGCGCGCTGACCGTTTGTAATCTGGCGAAACGTGTTGCTGTTTGTCCATTTTTGGATTTGTTTCAGAACTCGAGTTTTGCATGTTCATCCGTTTTACAGATATGGCTTTTTTTGTGTGTGCAGACATGCTGATTCCATTAGGAAGATGCACTCCGACTTCGAAGGAAGCACCGCTGATTAGTCGACTTTCACGGCCTGCTTGTTTGGGGAGGAAAAAGGAGGGGGGGGGGGGCTGGTCTATTCTACACTCCCCCCCCCCCCCCCCCCCAACCACCACTGAACACTGGGCCTTTCTTTAGGTGCTTCCAAGGAGGCAGTTGACTGATATGTTTTCTGGAGCCTTATTATTGGGGAGAAAAGAATAGACCCAGTGCCGTCCTAACTTGCAAGTCGTAAAAGGCGAAAAATTATGTGTGTTTTTCCCCAGTTAGGTTTGCATCTACCTGAGAGGCTGGCAACTAACAGTCTGCAATTAAGCCAGATCTGTAAATGAGGGGGGGGGGGTCTATTCTACACTTCCCTCCCTCGCTACAATGAGGTCCTAAACCAACACGTGGAGCATGCATTTAAGAAAGGTAAAGAAACAGGAGAAGTGTCTGATCAACCGCCGCTGGTATCAACAGTTAGAAGACACCGAAGTTGGTGACATATTGGGCCCATCTAGGAGAAGTGGTCAGAGAATCACAAAACAGACACATGGGTTAAACCCGTTAGAGCCCCCCCCCCCCCCCCCCCCCCCCCCCCTTAAAAAATTGTGACAACTAGACCCCGTTAGAGCCCCTCCCCCTTGAACAATTGTGACAACTAGACCCCGTTAGAGCCCCTCCACCTTGAAAAATTGTGACAACTAGACCCCGTTAGAGCCCCTCCCCCTTGAACAATTGTGACAACTAGACCCCGTTAGAGCCCCTCCCCCTTGAACAATTGTGACAACTAGACCCCGTTAGAGCCCCTCCCCCTTGAACAATTGTGACAACTAGACCCTGTTAGAGCCCCTCACCCTTAAACAATTGTGACAACTAGACCCCGTTAGAGCCCCTCCCCATTGGAAAATTGTGACAACTAGACCCCGTTAGAGCCCATCCCCATTGAAAAATTGTAACGGGCTAAGCGGTCCCATCTAACCATGTATGGAAATTCACATTTTTTGTTTGTTTGTATGTTTGTTTTGTTTTTAATTATTTGTTTTCATCTTTTATGTTTTTTTTTTGAATATTATATTTATTTGGGATTCGGAAGCTAAAATATTTGTCTCATTTCAATCACCATGACGAAATGAAAACAAATAATATCAGAAGAAATGGTGCCATGAAGGAGGGGGCAGGGACCGACCAACTCGAAGATGCACAAAGGATATAAGTGACTCCTTGAAAATGAAAGTACGCGACGCGGGACAGCTGGCAAGAGATAGAGATGAGTGCGAAGTTCTGCAAAGGACCTGCTGCATGATGATATGAGATCCAGCATATTCGTATTTATCATCCTGTAGCAGATCTTTTGCAGAACGTCGCTCTCATCATGGTCAACCTGAAAGAAACTCGGTCTCTGGCCAGTTCTCCCGCCTCATGAACTTTCACACTCAAGGAGTCAGTTATATCCTGTGCCCATCTTCGTGTCGGTCGGCCCCTGCCCCTCCTTCCTGGTACCATGCCTTTTGCTATAATGTTTTCCAATCCGTCGTGGCGCTTGATATAACCAAAATATTTCAGCTTTCGAGAAAGGATGCTGTTTATTAGCCAATCTTCCTTGGTGTTCAGATCTTTTAAGATATCAATATTTCTCATCTTCTTATATATTTGTATTAAGAACTTTAAAAAGCCTTATGGTACTTTGACCACCCCCCCCCCCCCTCCCAATTGATATGTAAAAGAAACTGACCCACAAACCCCTCCCTATACAAATGGTTTCTTTCTGTCAGCACCCCTAGACACAACATCTTGATGATGAAGATGACGACGATGATTTAATGTACAGTAAGGGAACCCCCCCCCCCCCCTTTTTTTTCCCCCAACACAAGCACACACACACGGAAACTGCCACGGAAGGAAGTCCCACGATATCAAAAAAACCTATCCCGTTTGCCGTGACCTAAAATATGACAAAGCCTATTTTCATAAATGTACCGAGAAGGGAACCGTCCGGAAAGCAATGGCAAACTTCTGGAAGTAAATTTGCCTAGAAATGCCACTACAGAAAATAAAATGCTGTTGTTGGTTCTGCAATGTCCTGTAAAGGATACGCAACTAACTTTGAACTTTATTTCGCAACCGTACCGCTATAACCGCAATGTTGTGAAGGGAGCAGCCCGAGTGTTGCCGCTAGACTATCGCCTGCGATTTTTGAAATTGTCCTTGTCTTCCAGGTTGACTGAGCCTTAAACGGGTACCGTGTAAAGACATGGAAATTACAGGCTTAGTCGACGGGATGTTGAACGCTTCACCAAGTGAGTGCCGATTGGTCTACACATAGTTGTAACCCTATATGCCCAAAATGTCTGAAAGCTGTTAAAAAAAGGGGTGGGGTGGAACGGAAAAAAGAGGATGGAAAAGAAAGGGGGGGGGGGGGGTCCTCTCACAACTGTTAGGTTTATTGAAAGAGAAACGGGGAACGTCAGTGAGTGGAAATTATTGGCAGGCATTTGTAAAGGCTTCCAAAGGTATCGGTACACACATTTATCTTCATTATCGGAGGAGGGAAAGAAGAAGAAGAAGAAGAAGAAGAAGAAGAAGAAGAAGAAGAAGAAGAAGAAGAAGAAGTAGAAGAAGAAGAAGAAGAAGAAGAAGAAGAAGAAGAAGAAGAAGAAGAAGAAGAAGAAGAAGAAGAAGAAGAAGAAGAAGAAGAAGAAGAAGAAAGAAGAAGAAGAAGAAGAAGAAGAAGAGAAGAAGAAGAAAAAAGAAGAAGAAGAAGAAGAAGAAGAAGAAGAAGAAGAAGAAGAAGAAGAAGAAGAAGAAGAAGAAGAAGAAGAAGAAGAAGAAGAAGAAGAAGAAGAAGAAGAAGAACAAGAAGAAGAAGAAGAAGAAGAAGAAGAAGAAGAAGAAGAAGAAGAAGAAGAAGAAGAAGAAGAAGAAGAAGAAGAAGAAGATGAAGAACACGATTTTGATGATGACGAGGAGGAGAATTCAACAATTTTCAATCCATCAGACAATCCCACGGATAATAATTATACATAATTAACATGACAAGTCCCGATTCCCAGTTAAAATATCATAAAGAATTGTTGGTCATGCTCTCTGTCTCCCTCTCGTATAAGCAATCGTCTGCAAACGTGATGTCCAAGTACCTAAACTAACAGTTTAATCGATGATACAGTTTTCTTACTGCTAATAACATTTTATTATTTCTCTCTTGTAGTTATAAAAAAAAATATTTTCAGAAATCCAGTCATAACTATTTTTCGGTTAATTCTAGAAGGTACTAGAAAATATTCAAATTGTGTAGATGAACAATTGCAGCCAAGACCTCTTACAAATACTTACTGCCAGTAGCAAGTTGTAGATTCGTGGTGAAGATTCTAGGCCGTACCAGAACGTTCGGTAATGTTCTAGTACCGGTTGCTGTCGAGTTAAGAAAACGTTTGAGGGGGGAAAATCTCTGATAATACTTGGATAATCACGTTAAGATGAAGAGGTCGTGTCGTGTAGTTTTGAATGATCCCTGTACATTGTGTGGCAGGTACGTGAAGTGGTGTTAAGAGTTTTTGTCAGCTGACATTTCTTAGCTGGTTGATAGTAAGCGAAGCAAATTTACAACCACAGCATTTTATTTTCATTGGCAGGCGGGGAATGCATGAAACACTCTGTCAGAAAAAGAAAAAAAAAACCATGTTTCTTAAGACACTCTTGGGAGCGTCAGGTCTGGTTAAAGTACCAGCTTGATTGCAATTTATGGGATTATGAAGCATCCAGTAAACTTAATAATGGCCGCTTTGTCAAACAGATAGACTTTAACAACACACGATCTTGATTATTAAACTTCCCCAATCAGATCGTGTCATCTGAATACTGCAGAAGTGAAGAATATTCTTTTTCACACGCAGATATGTTATATCAGCTTATGTGGCTTAGGCGTTGCGAGAGCGCTTCGTAATGCCGAAGTGCCGTTTTTGATCCCAGCTGCGGGCCTTGCGCTGGTTTCCACATTTGTATCGAAAAGCCGATAGTCTAGACAGCAATGGCAAATTACTGGCGGTAAATTTACATAAAAAACTTCAACAGCCAAAAAATGCTGGGGTTGGTTCTACAACTTCCTTTAGAGGATAGGTAAACAACGTTTTAGATATGTTCTGCATAACGTAGATAAGGCGGTAAAGATCCCGGCTGACTAAAGAATTAAAGAAAAGTCCCGGGTTTGGCTTGGAGTCACTAGAAAATTAGCGGATAAAAAAGAAACTGATACTTATTATGGAATTTAAAAAGGTCAATTTTCCAGGCCTTTAGGTGTATAGAGCATATAGGGCTAGACTTATATTTGTATTGACCAATCAGGACTGGATGGGTAATGTGGTCAGCATCACGCCGGCCGCCTTTACCTCCCTGGTTATTATGGAATAGTGGTGATACATTCGTTAGTGCGTTTGCTTGCCGAGGTAGTAAACAAAGCCCTTTAACAAGGCAGCGGGGCATCGGGCACATGAGGCTAGACTTCTTTCAAACATGACCTTGGCTATCATGTCGACCCAGCCTTGAGTGGATACCAGATACAGATCTGGGAAGTAAAAGCGGGCGGCGTGATGCTGACCACATCACCCACCCAGTGCCGATTGGTCTATAACAATATAGGTCCAGCCCTATATGCCCATTACGCCTGAAGGCGAGGAAAAGGATCCTTCACTCTACTTACTTACCCGGATAGATGATGTGGTCGACATATTGCCGGTGCCAAAGTAGTGGTCCCGCTTCAATGCCTAGCAGAGACAGGTCTGGCCATCAAATGTGCAGGAAAGCGTATTTTGTTTTCTCAAAATATGACCTTGGCCCCACAGTCGACTTGGGTAAAATGGGTACCAGGTGAGGTCCTGGAAAGTAAAGGTCTATAAAAAATATGATCAAGTACATAGGTATATGACAACGGGAGTGGGGGAAGGGGGATGGACCTCTAGAGGATGGTTTGTGGGGAAGGGGGGGGGGGGAGCGTCAAGTAGTTTTGAAACTGAGTACATTTGATTTGTAATAATCGAGTACATTTGATTTGTAATAATCTGTTATAATAACACTGTTTTCAGTTTAACTATTATTAATTCAATACATACACATACATACATTACATACATATACATACATTACACACACACACGCGCGCAGACACACGCACACACACATACACGCACACACAAACGCACACACACGCACACACACACACGCATACACACACGCACACACACACACACACACGCACTTATGCACACACACGCACACACACAAACACGCACGCACAAACACGCACGCACACACATGCACACACACACTCACTCACACACACACACACTCAAACACTTACACACACACACACACACACTCACACACACTCACACACTCACACACTCACACACTCACACACTCACACACACACTCACACACTCACTCGAACTCACACACACACTCACACTCACACACTCACACACACACTCACACTCTCACTCGAACTCACACACACACTCACACTCACACACTCACACACACAACACACATACACAACACACATACATTACACACATACATTACACACATACATTACACACAGAACATTACACACAGAACATAACAAACAGAACATAACAAACAGAACATAACAAACAGAACATAACAAACAGAACATAACAAACAGAACATAACAAACAGAACATAACAAACAGAACATAACAAACAGAACATAACAAACAGAACATAACAAACATAACAAGCCTACCTGCCTGCCTGCCTACCTGCTTACCTAC